AACTAATAGATTTCAGAGTAAAGAATATGGTCACCAATTAAGAGGGATAGTTCATAAATATTAAAGTCATCAAGAAGACTTAACAATCCTAAATAATTATGTACTTGATAACAGATCTTCAAAATACATGGGGCAGAAAGTGATAGAATTAAAAGAAGAAACACAAATCCACAAGTGTAACTGCTTAATAAAGCAAAATGCCCAGATATAGCACCTGTTTTTCTGTTTTTCCCTCCAAATCAGCCCAGAACCCAGCTCACAGGATAAATTACAATGTTCATACTTCTTTGATTAAATCCTGGGACTCATATTTGAAGCTTTGATTTGTGTTTAATTTGAAATTTCAGGGCTGTGCCCTCTGTTGCTAGATTATACTATTTTGTTGGTGAATTGAAGGGATTTAATTTTGCCAGAACACTTTGTTTTTCCATATAGGAAGTAGGGCTTCCCTGCAGTAGTGTGTTCTGGCTGCAAAGTTTGTTTTTTTTAGGTTTGAATTTGATCCCCAGCTCCTCTCTATTTACTAAACAGCCAAGTCTTTACTGCTTATTGCTATATTTATCTGAGGCTGTTCATGTAAAATTTGACTTATTTACTTAAAAAATAAACTTTGGCGTTTTAAATTTACTTTATTTCCTTCTCTGTCTTGCCTTCTTTGTAAAATTGGGATGAAACCTTACATTACAGGGAAGACGAAGGAATACACTGGGATTTTTAAAGTGCTTGGAAGAAACGCACTGAGCCACTGCTGTAAACACTAAATGACGTGGTACATTAAGGGTGAGGTCTGGATTGTTCCAACTAAAATAAAATATTTTTGTGAAAACCACATGTGATGAAGAAAAAGATTTTTTTATCATTTGAATGCCCGAATTTAATGTTGGTAGAATGAATGACCAATGTGATCCTTTACTTTACCAGTTTGATTTTACAAATGACAACTTAGGTTATAAAATACAAAATAAAATGTGGAACTGCTATAAACACAAGGAGATTGATGAGGGGATATCTGGAGATTTCTAATAATTTTATATATATATACACATATATATTTTTTTGTGCTCCAATGAAAAGACCTTTTTTCCTCTGTTCAATAATTGTATTCATCTTTTGTAATGGATTCTGTGGAATAGCCTTAGAAAGTTTACCAGGTGTGAGACAATGCATCTGCTTTGGACCTCAGGGAGTAGAAAGTGAGAAAAGAGTTACAAATAGAATGGGGTATGTATTATTAATGAATTGCCCCATGGCTATCCTTAAAGACTGCTTGAAAATGCCTATAGATTTAGAAGACACTAACCTAAAAAAAAAAATCATAAAAGATAAAATCCATTCTTCCTGATGTATTCTGAACAATGGTCTCAAGGAGTGAACTTTTCTTATTCCCTCTCATTCCTCTCTGGTCAACCAGTACTCATGTTGAATGAATTTAACTTTTCCACTCAGAATTTTTATTATAAAAATTGGCATTTTTATTATAATTAAAATTTGGAGTCTTTTATTTTCTTTTATCATCCTCCCTTCCACCCTTCTTTTCCCCCTTTCTTCTTTGCTTTATTCCTGAGAAATAAAATAATGTTTCTTAAAAAGAAAAAAAAAAAAAACTTGGAGTTTACATTTTTGTCTTCCCTATCAAACTGAATGTCACTGTATTGTTTACATATTTATTCATGCTAATTAATGTTGGTAAATGAATATGTTTTATATAATTTCATGCATAGGATGAGCTATCTGAGTCTAAAAAACTGGAGTTCTCAAAATATTTTTAAAAATATAGTTGATATAGTTTACTTTTAGGTAAAGAAGACAAACTAGAACACTACAAACTTTAAGGTTCATAAAAAACCACAAAGCCTCTGGAATTACACTACTAGCATTTTCTGAACTACTGATGTACAAATGATAATAAGAAAAATGCCTTATTTATATGTGCATAATATTTTTAACTTTTTTAAAAAATCACAAATGTCTTTACCATTATTATCTCAATTGACTCTCAAAAAAAAAAGCTTGTAAAGTGGACATGCTATATTGTTTAATATGAGAAAACTGAGGTGCAGAGTCCCACAATGTCGGAATGAAAAGGCTACTGTGCTACATATGACCAATTCATTGTTAGAGACAGAACTCGAACCCTCATTTGATACCATTGAATTATGAACAAATTTAATCACAAATAGAATGTCATTTTATAAATATTTTTTTCTTTTATTAAACAGTACAAGGTAAAACATTTCCAATAAGTATTAAAGAAGGATTTTTGATAATATTTAGAAATAGATTATGAGTTTATCCCCAAAAGCTGAATATTCTTAATTAAGTAAAACTTTCTTATTATTGCAATGATTGCAATACAAAGTCTGTTATTTAGAGCTCTTAAAAGATCAACTTTCCAACCTCTATTAACTATTTTCAAAATCTGTTAACTCTCGGATACTATGATAGAGGGAATAAAAGGTACTCTTTTCCCTTTTTACACTGAGATATTTTAAGGCCAGAATTCAAATCACTTTCCCAATATTAAAAATTTTGGAAGGGAGAAAAATATAAATCTCAACCCAGATTCAGAGTTTTGTTCAATTCCGTAGTTATTTACTTTTTGTATGCTTAGAATATGTTTTTTAGTTGTTATTCCATTAAAACCACATCCTCTAATATGTATCAAGAAAAGGATGATAAGAATGAATATAATGCTGTTTAGACATTCTAGTCTCTCATCACAGGGGAGGTTTATTGATCAATTATAAAACAAATAGCTTTTTTATAGTCTAAAATATAACCATGATACTTGAAGTTATGGCTGACCCTATGTATAAATGGATTATAACTTTCTTTAATTTATTTTTGGTTGTATAACTGTCATGCTATCCTTAAAACATAAAATTTCCTTTTGTTAATTATGTATATAATGACTAGACAACTTTGTGTTTCTAAAGCCTTAAAAATTAAAAATAAACATGTACTTATAAATACTTTTTTAAAAGATGCTATGAAACCTGATGTACCTATTTTGATGTTCAATAAAATAGATGAAACAATTAATGGTTTCTCTGCAGAATGGGAATATAGACTTGAATGACTCCTTTATAACAATTAGAGCTAAAGATATATCTCACACACACTTTGGTTAAATAGCATAAACATGTTGAGAAAAATGACAGTTTATTTGCATAATCATGAGGATATTTAATGAACAGCATACTAATACTTTTGTTTCATATTTTGTGTTAAGACATGGAACTATGTTAAAAGAGTATCAACTGGCAGAATTTATACATGTGTGCACGCGTGTGTGTGTGTGTGTGTGTGTGGGTGTGTGTGTGATTTCTCTTTCCAGATAAATTCTAAAGTGAAAATTCAAGATTATCACTTAGCTCCACATCCCAGTTTACCTTTAACAATTTTCCTAGATCTTTAGAACATATCTTGCAAAGAGATTTTTCTTTTTTTCTTATTAAGCATTCAGGGAGATTTACCAATGTTTGTCTCCCAAACTACTAACTTTGCTAAACTTGGAGACCCTCAGAGAGTTTCTTTGTAATAAAGAGCATCATTATCAAAAAGGCATAGTGAAATGTTGCAGTTTTCCTTCCTGACTTCCTTTTGAATTTGTACCACATTTTCATTGCCTGGAAGCCTGTGTACTGCCATGGGAACTTTCCTTCTTGTCTCTGGTGAGTGGTATGAAGATGACCTGTCAGAGATTGTGTACATTTTATAATGAATAAGTGAAAGTCTCCTGACATAGGTTTGATGCCCATAAAGCTATAAAAGATGAATTTTGTGATTATCTTTACATTCAAACTCAGGGACTGACAGAAAGAATATTATTTCTAAATGCAAAGTTAACAAAAATATGGAGATTTTCAGTAGGTGCTTCTCTTATTAGTATTTAAAGCAATTATAGAAAGATGGGTCATTGCAATTTTCCATTTGTGCTGAGAAAGTCTTTTCTTGCTACTACTGCATTTTAGCTATTCAAATTCAAATCAGGCTTCTCATCACAACTATTCTGTTTGTGAGAGACACTACAAATAAGTAGTAGATGTCCCCACCCACCAATCTGGTTGCATTTCCAGTGGGGTCATCATTCTCCATTGCAAGTAATGTGGTATTAAATCAACAGGTAGAATCAACTTGCTTTTTACTTTACGAGAATTGTAAACATTGGCATCCTGATATATTACTGGCATCCTGACATATTATATATATTTCTTTTATTTCCATCTATTAATGATATAATCTATAATCACTTACAGCAATATGATAAATCAGATATAACATGAATATGAACACTTTTATACATATTAGATCTCTCTGAATGAACACATTTTTAATTAATTCAGATACATCACAATTGAAGTACTGTAGTCAGTAACAAACTAAAAAAACAAGATAGAGTTCAGTATAATAAAAAAACTTGGATTGGGGAGGAAGCAGGATACAAGCAGGAGGGAGTTTAATAACTCTAATTTACTGGCTTAACTGAAAATTCCTTTTTTCATCTTGTTTTACAGTTCTGATGCCATGGCCACAAAACTTTATCAATGAATATTAAGGGAAAAGAAAGTACTAGAACTAGATAATTCAAGGTTAAAGAAAAATGAACAGAACATCTTCCTAATGAGAACAAATAAACACAACAACTGTGTTGATTTCCTTTATGTAAGAATTATTAAGATTAGAAGTTTCCATTGACAATTGGATAAAGAAAAATGACCCAATGAATTTTTGTATCCTGTGACACAAAATCAAGGGCACACACCAGGGCACTTACCATTAGAGATCTCTCTAGGTCAAATTCCCCAAATCTAAATTGCAGAGAACAAATGTGTGTAAGTGTGTGGGGGCCTGTATGTGTAGAGACAGGGAGTTGCTCCAAGAATTAATATATACTATAAAGTGAAGTCATAGTCCCAAATAACAATATTCTAAGAAATAACATAATTTCAAATAATTCATTTATTTCCCTTAATAGAATGGAAATCACAGCTACTCACCTAACCTCTCAATGGAATAATACCGCTGCTTACTGTCCACACGCACTGTCTCAGCATAAGGGCTCCCAACGCCGTAACCAATAATGTAACCTCGTACCACGATGTTTGGGTTCAAGGGAGGAGTCCAACTCATGATGATGCAGTTGGTCTGGGGCCTCACATGAAGAGAGCTTGGCTGATCAGGAACTTGAGACTCTGGGATTCAAAAAGAGATATCATCAGCATGTATGATAATAGAGCATGCAGCATGGCAAAAGGCTATTTAAACAAGACTTAATATCATATTCCATAGATGCTCAAATAATTCATTACTTATTACCCAAGCCCATCATTTTTCAGCATGTGATATGTTTTCCATGTTTGATTCAACTGTCACAGAATGTCTTAAGCATAAGAGGATGCTGAATTCCTTCCAGGGTCATGGTAGTCTAATGCATCTTTATTCTAATAGTTTCTTCCTTGTTTTGTTTTTTATATATTTCTTCTTCTATATCATTAATAAAGGTCAGAATCAAGGCAGATGTAAGAATAATAGGATAATAGAATGGGAAATAAAATTTCAATGCTGTCTTGCCCAATAATTACTTATTCTGATTTAGGTAAGAACAAAAACAAAAGTACCAGTCTTCTCATAAAAAATTGTAAGGAGGAAGAGTTTGGGGCCATGATCTACCTAGCATGATTAGGATGGTACTTGATTCATGGTTTATTGCATGTGCAAAAAATGAGTTCATTATTAAAGAGAAGACGACAGTGGCCTAGGTTAAAGCCACACAGGATTTAGAGCTGTGTAAATTTAGTTTAATACCACATTCTGTCATTTACTAGTCCTGTGTCCTCATGGAATTATTTTACTTCTCTGAATTTCCCTTCTGATTAAGCTGGCATTCCAAATATTGATTGATTCAAAGATTGAGCTCTGGAAGAAAGAGCAGAGTTCAAATTTGTACTGGATACTCATGAGATGTGAGACCATAAGACATTTCTTATCCTTGCTAAGCCTCAGTTCCCTCCTCTGTAGAATGAAGTTATGCTATTGAGAAAATTTAATGAGATAACGCATAAAACCACTCATTATAAGTAGCACATAAGTTCTCAACTAACTTTAGCTATTAGAAAGAGGATGCACATGCCACCTTGATATCCATTTTCTTTTAAAGAGATTGTGTATGTTGAAATTAATAAATTTTATTACTAAATTGACATTCTGATTTTCCATCATCATTCTTCCCTACTATCCCACTTCAAAAGAATAATTTATTTCCTAGACATTGATTATTATTCAATTAGTAAATATTACATTTATATGGCATCCATTATGTTTGGAAAGTGGGGCTAGGTATCTCTAATGTTCAGGATACAGAAGAGAGTGAATATGGCAGACATAAAACTTACACTTTGGGAATTTATAGTCTATTGGGAAAAATAGTCAAGTAAAAACACAGTTAAAATACACTGATACATATTTCAATAGGCTAAATACAGACACATGTAGCCTATTCTTTGAAAATCAAGGAAGTATTTTGAAAAGAAATGGAAGAAAGAATGTGCCCATCCAAACTTCAATATGTGCTTAACACAATTCTTGGCAATTAATAAGCACTCAAAAGATTACTGATTTAAATCTTTTTCAAACTACTGTGTTCATTATTTCCGTTCCAGAAATTTCTGTTTCAAGAGATTCTGAAAATCTTGGAAGATTGCCAAATTATGCAAGGAAATGTAATAACTAAAGGTAATATTATAATACATTTTACCTCCTCAATGTAATAGCAAATAAAGTTGATGCAATTCCCTCTACTAACTTTATCCATAATTGGTATGCACCCTTCTAGCTTAAGTGATAAATGGAAGCATGCTTTTTATTAAAGTTTTTAAAGCAGGTACCATAGCAACAGCATTCCAAAAGATTCTAAAGATGCTACATCAACACAATTTTCTAAAGATGCTTTTTTTGTAAAGATGTCCCTTTGTGTGTAAAAAAGGACAAACTATTATTTGCCTGCCCTAAAGAAGCCTGTGATATAATATGCAAAGATATCATGAAAGTTATGTCTCAAAGTATGGATATAAACCTTAATAGTAGAAACACAATCTTTGTGAAGTATTTCCCACTATAAACTCCATGTTAAAGTAATAAAAGAGATGAAGAGGGTGAATTGATACTTTTCAACCCTATTGCTACAGAATCTCATCAGTGTCCTTGAAATATAATGGGCTCTACAATCAAGTCTTTTTAACACATATGAGGTTTTTACAATAACTATTGAAACAACAAGATAATCTGCCTAATTTATATTAAGAACATAAACTGAATACTATTCAGATCTTCTGCATTTATGACTTTTTAAAAACAATATGAAAGCATAATGATTTGAATGACAAGATTTAACATCTTTTAGAATAAAAGAAAAAACTATTAAACATTTTCATAACAATAACTATTGTTATGAATATTCTCCATATTTTCCATATATTCTCCATATTCTCCAAATATTCTCCATATTTCTGTAATTCATACAATACTTCTCTTGCAAATTAGTAACCACAGAATTGCATCCATTGGAGCTTTAAAGATACCATGGTAATGAATATACCAACTAGTTCTTGAAAAAGAGGGGCTCTTAGTACACAAGACTCCCCTTTATCCTTCACTGCATAAAAATGTTTTAATCCTAGATGGAAATCTCACAGCAATTTTTAATAGTATAAATAATATGGATGTTAATATATAAGAATATATGCTGCCTCTTCATCTAGATATTTAATGGGCTTTTATCTCTCAATTAAGATCATAGGGCAGAAGGATAGTACCTACCAAGGCAATATCGGACCTAAGCCATTCAAAATATATGGCCTCATCATAATAATAATTATTTCCAGAGATTGTTCATAATCCAGAATATCCAATTTATGCGCACACACTCACTTTTTAATGTAAAGACAGAAATAACAATTTTCCTTTTATGTTACCTGAGTGAGTTTTCTCTAACACAGGTGACCTTATGTATTGTGAAAGTGGTTATTACTGGAATGAATTATAAAATGTCAATTTAGAAAATTTGCCATGGAATATATGTGTCATGAGAGCTCCTTGTTTTGGGTCTGAAACTGAAGTTTGCTGCTCAGAAGTATATGAAAGATTTTACAAATATCTCTAGAACAGTGATTGAATATATAAAGCATGGAGGGGTATTAGGGCAATTATTGAGATAATTTGAAAGCAAATAATACATTTTGCTAAAATATCCCAATTAATGAACCCCTAAATTTCTATTGGAATCTGAATGATCAAATAACTAGGTCAACTTTCATTGTTGATTATATTATGGAATTATAGATTCTCTTTTGATTTAATTTGGTTCTAAAGAACAGATGTTATTATCTGAGTGACGATTACAGGTTTCCGCTAATGACTAATGTTCACATGCAGTACACGAGGACATTTATTAGATTAAGACGTCTGAAATTTCAATAATGATTGTGCATCTCCTGTGTGACAGTCATAGTTGTAGGTGCTAGAGTTAGAGATGTAGTGTTGGGGTAGGAAAGACAAAAGTTTCCTAATAAACAAATAAACAAACAATGAGATCTTGATAAATGCTATTCTGAGGGTACAATAACTGACTCCTCAGGGAAGGTCTCTCTGTTAGAGTCTAAGGTAAATTATCAGAAGAGCCAGTCAAGTAAACACAAAGTGGTGATCTTTGGAGGAAAAGGGAAAAACTATTGTGAAGGCTCTATTCCAAGAATGAGTTTGGTATTTGACGAAACCAAAGGTCATTATACCTGGAACATGGAGGACAAGAAAGGAAATGAAGAAGATAAAAAGAGAGTCAGCCAGTAACCTGTAAAAATGGTACAACTGCTATGGAAAACAGTATAGTGGTTCCTCAAAATACTTAAAATAGAATTACCACATGATCTTACAATTCCTCTTCTGGATATACACCCCATAGAGTTGAAAGCAAGCACTCAAGCAAATATTTGTATATTTATATTCATACAAGTGTTATTCACAATAGCCAAATGGTGGAAATAACCAGAGTGTCCATCAATGGACAGATGGATAAACAAAATGTGTCATATTCATACAATGGAATATAATTTTGTCTTTCAAAATACCAACTTGACACATGTTTGAAGATGTTATTTGAACTAACCTAGTCACAAAAGGACAAAAACTGCATGGTTCCCCATTACATGAGGTTCCCAGAGTAGTCGAATTCACAGAGGCAGAGAATAGAATGGTGGTTGCCACAGGCTCTGGGAAGGATGAATGTGTAGTTAGTGCTTAATGGGTATAGAACTTCAGTTTTGCAAGTTGGAAAGAGTTCTAGAGCTGGATTGTGGTGATGGTTGCACAACAATGTGAGTATACTTAATGTCACCAAACTGTATACTTAAAATGGTTAAGATGGTAAATTTGATGTCTATTACAACCCAATTTTAAAAAATTAAACAGAAAAGTGAGGGAGCCAGTCACCAAGAGACCAGAACACTCTATGCAAGGCAAGCCAGTGATGTACCGAGATGAGGAAAACCAAGCTAGCTCTCCTTGGGCCATGTTCAATTTGAGATGCCTATTAGTCAAACTTGTGGAAATATCAAGGCAGTAGTTGTGTATGGGGTTCTAGTGAAAGGTCAGGACTAGAAATGCAGATGTGGAAGTGACCGGCACATAGACAGTATTTTAAATAGATGGTCATGAATATAGATACAAACTAGGTGTGTAAGATCATGTTATTGCTCTGCTGAAAATCCCTCAAAGTGTTTCCATATCATAGTGTAAGGGCAGGTTCTTCATGATGGCCTAAAAGGCCATATATGATCTATCCTTCTTCCCTTCTTACTTCTTTGACCTCTTCTATTTCTTTTCCCTTTGCTCATATCACTCCAGTTATGTAGTCCACACTGAATACTTTGCTGTTTCTCAAACATGCCAGGCATGCTCCAGCCACCCGGCATTTGTCCTTGCTGTGCCTTCTGTCTGGGGAGCTTTGCTACAGATGTGGCTTCCTCTGTTACTCCTTCAAGTTTTTATTTAATTTCCAATTGCAGCCTTCCCTGACTATCATGGTTAAAACTCTAATCTTCTCCTCATAACTCCTAATCCCCTCTGTTATTCTCCTCCCCCATAGGATTTATTACCACTTATTTTGCTACCTATTTCATGTGATTATTTCATTACTCTG